CAGCCCCGTAACACAGCCCGGCCCCGTAACTCAGCCCCGTAACACAGCCCGGCCCGGTAACTCAGCCCGGTAACACAGCCCGGCCCCGTAACACAGCCCGGTAACACAGCCCGGCCCCGTAACTCAGCCCGGTAACATAGCCCAGAACAGCCCGGCCCCGTAACTCAGCCCCGTAACACAGCCCGGCCCCGTAACACAGCCCGGCCCGGTAACTCAGCCCGGTAACATAGCCCAGAACAGCCCGGCCCCGTAACACAGCCCGGTAACACAATCCAGCACAACCCGGCCCGGCCCCTCAGCACAGCCCAGCCTAGCACAGCCCGGCCCGGCCCCTCAGCACAGCCCGGCGCCGCCTGCAGCGGCTGAGGGCCCGCGGGGCCCGGCCTGGCAGAGTGCAGCCGGGGAGCTCGGGGGTCCCTCCTCTGGAATCTCCACAGCTCTCCTTCCTGCTGCTGCCTTCGACTCAAACAACTTTACTACTTAAAACAGGAACTACACCTCATTGAGAGGTAAATGGAAGAGGCTCTGCGGCGTGGGAGCCTGAAAGAGCCATTTTCACCCGAGGGCCAGCAGAAGAGAGCAGCCAGTTAGCAGCACTAACGAAGTGAAGAATTTAGCAGTAAACGAGGGACCCGGGGAATGCAAGAGGCAGTTGGATGGAGCGGGCCCTTTCCTGCTACTTGGGCTCAGGAAATGGTGGCAAAGCAATGACCACTGTTTGTACCAAGAAACAGCTGCAAAATGGACTTCTCATTCCCTGAGAAATTCTGAAATACGCTTTTAACAAAACTAGTTTAGAAACACTGAAACATTTAATTTTGAGAAATTAGAAAATAATGCTGTGTCCCAGGAAACAGGTGTAAAGTGGAACAGGGTACCGATCTAAATATTTATTCACACATTCTGATTTATACCCAGGTGTTACATCCATGGGCACAAGTCTCTGGTTGGGAACCAAACTGTGCCAGTGCCTCTCCATTTTCCATGGCAAGATCATATGAAAGTCTGGGATCCTCTCATTGCAGAGCAGCAATGAGTGTGCTTGGCTTTGGCAATGCTATGATCCTTCTGTTCCAGGCTGAGGCATGCAATAGGAATATCATAGGTAGGCAGGCAAGGTGAGGACTTGGGAAACTCTTCTTCAAAAGTTGGAGAGCTCTCCAAAAGCAACAGCAGGAACACTGCAACAAAACTACAGTCAGGGTTCCAGTTATCTGCAGGTCAGCAAATACCACACGGCAGCAGGTCAATGTCCTGCCACGGTCACCCCAGGGATACATGCCCTGGAGCATCCCACACTGACTCGTGGTTTCACTGCAGCCCTGACACACTGAACAGTAGCTGCTGGGCCTGCCACAGTTCACTTGATCCAAGCAGAAAGCTGGAGTTCAGCGTGCCTTGGCTGCTAAATCTAACCACAGGCGTGGCCTGGACAGTTCCTCAGCTTGGCCCAGGGAAGGTTTTTGCTGGCTCACTTCTCTCTTCTGTGGCTGATAGCCACATTCATGACAATAGCGCCTGGATGGGAAATCAAGAGTAAATTTTAAACTGAAATACAATTGACCAGCAAATACAATTGCTGGCAAACCATTTTTTATTTAAAAAATATAAGAAACCAGGGAGAAGGAGGAAAAAACCTAAACCAAATGAAAATGCCAACTCTGGTCTAGGCCACCAAATTGCATAATACACGATACCAAATCTCTTAGAAAGCAGCTGCCCAAGAAGGGCTGCTCTTCCAGCAGACCTCTTCCAGACTGCACACGAACTTTTCTGAGTGAAGTCTGTGCAGCCATATCCCTTCATAATTATGTAGCCCATTGGTTCTTAAATCTCTGCCTTGTCTCTAATGTCATAGCCATTTATTGCTGCCTTTCCCACAGGGGCTAACATTTTCTTATTGAATAATGAGACTCTTTGCACCACACACCATTCTGGCTGTCCCGAGACCTCTTGTGCCCTGTGAAAAGCCCAGTCCAATTAACTGTGCCTATTCCTGGCTCCATTGTTCATCCCAGGCACTCTGCCCTCATCTGCAGCTCGGCATCCCGCTCTGCACCATGTCCACCTGCGGTGGGTGCTCGGTGGTGACAGGGCAGGTGGCAGGTGACATGTCCCCATGCTGCTGGCAGGGGTGCTCTCCCACCTGTCCCATCCTCCCTGCCCACACTGGGCACGCTCTGCCTTGGCCACCTGGTGCTGGAATGTGCCTTTCCCTGCATGCTGTCCTGGGGAAACAGGCAGGCATGGGATAATAGAATATATTAGCCCCGAGTCCATTCAGGCCCTGGCTCTTTATGAACAAAGCCTGCTAACTGAGCTGATTTTTGCCAAATGACTGGCTTTAGTACATGAGCAGTAAAGTGGAGCCCCCAAATACTCCCATGCAACAAGCTCTATTGCCCAGGTCTCATTGTTTTACTCCTGCACTTGAGGGCATGGAAGAGTCATGGCCTTGCCTGCCCTGGCATTTCTTCTCCAGTTTCCCACCACTGCTTTAGCCCTGTCTCAGCCCTAGCAGAGGCAGCAGTGATGGGGGAGATGAGAGAAACTGGCTGTGGGTCCCCACAGTCCCTGTCCCAGGGCTCACACTGTCCCTTGGTGCCCATGCCCCCTCTCTGGAGGCAGATGGCATGTACCAGCAGAGGCAGCCCACCTGCCGTGTCCCTACATGGAGAGCCCACCATGCCACCCCTGCAGCAGGAGAAAGCTCCTGGACACCCCCAGGGAATATTTGCTTTAGGTTAGAACCCCTCAGTTCACTGAAAGCTGATAGCCCCTGCCAGGGTCAGTCCCCGAGGAGGATGTTGTTTTTGCCATGTTTGTTTTCTGGTTTTCTCAGCAGATTGCTCCAAGACTCCAATAACACTGATGCAGCCAGGAAAACTCCTTCACCCCGTGGTCAGGGAATGTGCACATGGAGGTTTTGCAGCTGTGGGGACCCAGTCTGATGCTTCAGCCTGGTGCTCAGTGCCCCTGGGGCTGCAGGAGACACCTTCACCAAAAGCTGGCCAGCAGCAGGGCCATGATCAAGGCATCCAGCAATTCCAGCCAATGTCTCCTGTTTGTGTGAAATTAGCACCAATAAATGCTATAACTATACACGACCAACAACGGGTTTACTAGCTAACATATAAAGGACTACAAGAGCTAATGCCTTCAGCACTGCTGAAACTCTTGACCGTCTGCCCCTAGTCCCAGGAGGGAACTGATGGCAAATGTTTACAGGGGCTTATAAATATTTATCCTGTAATAACTTGCTGCATTACGGCACATTCTTCTCCACAAGGCTCAGCTTTGCTCTGGACCAGGTGCAGGCTGCTGAGAGGGTCTGTGGCATATATAAAGCTTGCCTGAATAACATACAGCAAGTGCTGGTGTTCAATAAAACAGCAGCAGCCAAGCTGCACGCGTGAAAGGCACTGCAAGTCATTTCTTAGCCAACGAAAGAAAAATGTGGCTGGGGAGCACAGGTGTGCAGGCGCATTGGTGTGGGTACAAACCCCTTCTGCGTTGCCAGAGTAACCTGGGGAAGTGCTGCAAGTGACTGGGGAGGTATAAATCACATTGCTGATGTGATGGAAGTCTTGGCCCAAGAGTGGCCCTGTGCTTCCTGAGAACACAGGGACCCTCAGCTGCTTTTGGGAGGACCCCAAAGGAAGGGAGCAGGAGACTAGCCCACCATCAGGAAACATCTCCTCATGCTTCTTGCTCTTCAGCAATTCTATCTGCTCTCTTCCCTCTAAAAATTTTTGAAGCATCTGTCCACTTATTTATTTATCCTTCTCATTCTAAATGATTTGCAAGAGCATAAGATGCCTGTGGTTTGGAAACCATGTGATAATCTCCAAGCTGGACCAGAGATGGAGTTCAGAAGTACTTTCTAACAGGAGTAAATAAGCAGATTGGAAGGGCTCCATTGTGTATATTCTAGGTTGCTATTTTCTTAACCCTGTCTCATTAAGATGGATGGAGTTTCTGCTTATTAGTAATTTGGCAAGTTCCTCTTTGTGTACACTCTGCACTTCTCACTAATGATGCTGTGCTTCAGTGATTAACAAAAGAGATTTCCAGCATAGTCAGTGAAAACACAGCCACCACTTGGGGCACTGGGACGGAAACCCAATGTTCTGGAGATGCCCTCTGTGGAAGACAAGGAAATACAGGGAACCCAGCAAAGGAGAAGCTGCTGGTCATAAAACCTTTCCTGACACTCAAATATTTTGACCTGAGGACATTGGTTCTTTGATTTACATGCATAATTGCAGAGCTGACAGAGCCTGTAACAAAGTGATTCAGAGCCCTTCCTCTGCTGTTCTCAAGACACATCCGATGGAGATGAAGCTGGCACTGCTACTGCCTGGATTTACAGCTGGCCATTAAAGTATGTTTACAAGTCTTTAGTACAGTGTACACATCTAGTAAATCATTGATTGAACGAATAGCTTCTCCTGTCATGCTCCC